CTTCTTACCCCCTCTTTTTCTTATCTCCCCTCTTCTTATTCCCCTCCCTCCCCTCTTCTTATTCCCCCTATCCCCTCTTTTTATTCCCCTCCTCCCCTCTTCTTATTCCCCTCCCTCCCCTCTTCTTATTCCCCCTCCCCTCTTCTTATCCCCCCTCCCCTCTTCTTATACCCCTCCCCTCTTTTTATTCCCCCCCTTCCCTCTTCTTATTCCCCTCTTTTTATTCCCCCCTTCCCTCTTTTTATTCCCCCCCTCTTCTTATCCCCCCTTCTTATTCCCTCCCTCCCCTCTTCTTATTCCCCTCCCTCCCCTCTTCTTATTCCCCTCCCTCCCCTCTTCTTACCCCCTCCCCCCCCTTCCCCCTCTCTTCTTACCCCCTCCCCTGTAGCGTGGCCGAGCTGCACTCCGGTCCGCGGTGGCCGGCCGGAGTGATAGGAAGGTGCACACTCAGTGTGCACTTCCTGTCAGTCCGGTCGGTAACAGGAAACAGAAACTCCGCGCGGAACAGGAGTTTCTGTTTCCTGTAACCGGCCGGACTGAGAGGAAGTGCACACTCAGTGTGCACCCTCCTATCACTCCGGCCGGCCGGCCACCGCGGACCGGAGTGCAGCTCGGCCACGCTACAGGGGAGGGGAGGGGAGAAGCTGCAGCCGCCTGAGGCTCTTAACAGAGCGCTCAGGCGGCTGCAGTATTTAAAGGGCCGGCCCGCCGCGGCCGGCCTTACAGGAATTTAGGGCGGCCTGGGGGGCAATTGCCTCCCTGCCCCCCAGCCCAGCCCGCCCCTGGACATACAGAACAGTGATATACAGAACAAGGCATACAGAGACATATGGACAAAGTCATACAGGCTTGCAGAGACATACATACACAGACATATAGTCACACAGAGATATACAGAACAAGGCATACAGAGACATACAGAACAAGGCATACAGAGACATACAGACACAGTCATATTGAGACATACAGACACAAGGTATACATACACAGTCATACACAGACATATAGTTCAAACTAATCTCAGGAGGGGGACTGGTAGTGGATTGTAGTAGGGGGCTAGGGGCTGTTGTGGGGGAGGGCATATTTTCATACCCCCCTCCCTTCTTAGTTTTGCCTGGGAGTGGGGACAGTACTAAACTTTCATGGTCCAGTGGCAAAGCCCTGGTGGTCCAAGTGGTGAGAATGAACTCTAGCAGATCCTGCGGGTAGACTTAATACTCGTTTCATATTAACTGGGGTAATGCTCCGAGCTCGCAAGAGGAGAATCTGGAGTAGCTGCAAATTAGAGCTCCCCCGGGTCCTCTCTCCTTCCCCTGCTGGCTGATGCATTTCAGTGCTAGCGGGCTGGTGTGGGAGATCTCTGATCTTTCCTGCGGTCCTGCAGAGCCGACAGGGGAGAGCGAGTCACGGCATAGTTCACGGTGCTATGATCATGGAAACGAGGAAACATTTAAAGCTTCATGTTTATGGCCTACACTAACTTAAAAGAAATGTGAACAATATTGACTTAAGCACTTTCTAAAATTATAGGGTGTACTAAATGCAGTAGATTGACCCTAACCAAGGTGGCAGCGGGTTGGGGGGATGAGTTCTGTAGTTAGAGAGCTGAAACATTGCACTTTAGTGCAAGGATTAAAAAACATCTCTTATATGGAGATTGATCTGTCACTGCACAGGTTTGCTTTGTACATGTTAAGCTCCTAAACAATGAAGCAACAAAAACCAAAGCCAAATGAAGAATAAACAACTGAACAGATATATCAGTATGTGATGCCTCTTTCTTAACTACCATCACTTTTGGTCAGGTACCCTGGTTAACCTCTACTCTTTCCATTGGTACAAAAGGAAATATATTGATAGGTTCCCAAGAATGGGAAGTAGCCTGTGTGGTCGTTTGTGCTATTCCCAGTGCTATTAGAAATGAAGGTACCTCCGTTAAGGACGTAAGTTTCAGTACAGTCTAAGTTTGGTTCATCAAGAGGGATCTGGTTGTCCTTTACCTACGCCACTAAAGTGTAGACCTTGAAAGGTGTTGATAGAAAGACAATGGACAGTACTTGAAGGAGAGTTGTAAGAAATTGTGGATATTCTTTTAGGTAATGTGTTACAAATAAGACACAAACACAAGTGTATAATAAAATGTATTGTTAATATTGATTTAGGATACTGTTACAGATTTTAGGATATACGCATTACACATTATAACCATATCCAGAACATAATCAAAATATACATAATAAAAGGGCAGTACTTAAACATTTAAATGAAGATCTTCCCCTTGCGCCTTTATCTGGGAGCAGGCTGGGACTTCTTTTAGAGAAAGGATGGCTTGGGAAAACACATACTTCCGTGATTACACCTAGATGTTAATTACTCCAGGTCTCCTGGTTGTCAGGAGAACTGCTTGAGGGATGTAAGCTTTTGTTTTAGCTGGGTGTTGTAAAATACAACTGAAAGCTTTGATCCTTATCACACTGTTATCAAGTAGATGACCCCAAGTTGTGAAACCAGTCACATACACAGAAAGCTATACAATATTGCAGTTTTACATATCAATTTCTGACAGTCCCCACCTAGAGAACGAATGACTCAAATGGAAAATGAGCCCTCTCGAATAAATACAGTATTTTATCTTGTGTGTTTTGAATACGTATGTGTTTTACTGAGACACAAGTGACTTGACAACCACATATAGTTATAATTTAGGGTACTGCAAGAAATAATTTATCAGAATCATTGAGGCACTCACAGTTATCATATTTCACCATTAATTTGAACTCCTTCAGCCATATCCTTAACCTTCCATTACCCTCATAGACTTGGCATAGGCTCACTGCAACCATTTGATTTCACTCCTATCATGCTCAGTTACCTGTGCCCCCAACACTGTTTCCACCATACAGTTCCTTTAACCCTGGCCTTGCTTACTTTGAGCTATTAGGCCTCTGACCTCTGCCCACCATGACACCTGGTGTATTTTCACACCAACGGCAGTTAATTTGCTGTTCACTTACATAGTTTATTGAAGACAGCACACAAGGGAGAAACACAGTTTATTGTTTGTAGCAGGTATCTGAGTGGAGGATTTTGTGCACGTTTATTGATAGTTGTATAGCTGGAATGGGTTTGTGTTTGAGCCCTTGAGGATTTTTAATAATTTGTTGATAGGCCATTGGCTTCCTGAAATTAAAAGATACTTAGCACAGAAAGTCTGCAGTGTTACATTACGCAAATCACTAGGGGTTTGATTATCATCCTTGTCTCAGCATTACCATCTGGATTCATGGTCATCTAAAACATTGTAAACACAAATGTGATCAAAATGCAACCATTCACCTTAATGTGTACTGTGACGGTCTGAGAAGGTATCACCGTCTTGCATACCCTTTTCCCGTAAAATAATACGCCAATAATCCACAGGTTCCAATATTGCTGGTGTCGCATAATAACCCACACATGAGCCAAAGCTTAATGCCTGGACAAGACTGGTTTAATGAGAACACAGGCATTCGATTTATACAGTGTATAACTCCTCCTCTGAGCCAGCGATATAATTGAGCTTAGAGAACATACTAAACTCAATTATCCTCTGGTCAGAAAAAGTCAAATTGTTCACAATATCTCCAAATACCCCCAAAAGTCATATCCTTGGGTAGCCTGTCTCTGTGGGTGCAACATATTAAAAAATCAGCCAAATCCGTTTGATAGTTACCGAACGGCACCGCAGGGAGAGTTGACCGGTCTGCCACTAGGTTGAAGCCGAGAAACAGTTCCAGAAGAAATGTAGCAAGAGCAGTTCTCTGTTCGTGGGGTTTTATACGAAAACCGCAATAGATAGAGTCAATCTGGTTCGTGGAGAAAGCTCCCTGTGTTCGGTAGTTTGAAACTACCCAACAGCGTTCATCTGAGTTGCTGGGTAAGGGAACGTAGAGGAGCTCCATAGAGACCGGTGTTCGTGCGAGTGCGTTGCTGAAAATAATTCAAGGCACTCGCAGGCAGCGTTCAGGAGACAAGGTGGCCGTCACCCATTGTTCCCATCACATGTATTCGTATGCACAAAATGACGGCCACCTAGGAGCATTCAATTAGTCTGCGGTTTTCGTATAGATACATAACGTTCTCAGTTCTAATAAGTCTCTGGGGTGGTCTCGGTTCAGCAACCGAGGGGAAGGGGAGGGGAGAAGCTGCAGCCGCCTGACATAACAAAAGAACAAATGACTGGGGAAGGCTGATAGAAGAGAGTACAATTAGCTGAATGGATAACCAAATAGAGCAAATAGAAAATGCAAACTCATATATTGTCACTCACCCCACCTTGACTCAAGACAATATAAAATATACAAAATTGTCTAATTTTGCTATATCCTATACCCCAGCTTGAAAGTATAAATTAAAAAAACAAAAACAAAGCATTATTATTATCCTTCTATTGTTCAAAACACTTTGACTAAAGGCAATGTAAAATATACAAAAGTATCTATTTTTCCCTTCAGAGTGTTAAATACAATAAAACGCATAATAAAACAACAAAGTCAAAGGAAATGGAGGGAGAGAAAAAAGTAGATTGAATGCTACCATCACCTTAAGACATTAAACTGTATACAAAGTTTGGCAGCGTGCAATCTAAAAGAAAACTGACAATGGTCTGTTGCCTTTCAAAGATAAAAATCAAAAACCAGCTTGAGGCTAATTTTGCTGGTAACCAAATGAAAAAAAGACAAAAACAAAAATATTTACTGTTGTAAACCAACAGACAGTTATACTATCACATCTCTCAAGTGTGATCAAAATATAAGCCTCACATTGGCAGCAATTCACCTAATCTATGAATTTATAATTGGTAATCCAGCATTAAAAATAAAAATAATTAAAACATAGTACAGGTATGCTAAACTAATAAAAACAAAAATAATTTGGAATTTAGACCACCTGATTGTAATGAATGAGTTTAGAGGCTTATCCTTATTTTGAAAAACATATACATAAAAATACATATTAAGGTCCTCTATAAACTGGAACTGTACTTTCCTGAAATAAATAAACAAGTTAAATGGTTGGTCTTCTCACAGGTCTATATTTTTCTTCCTTCTAAATTGGCATCATCTCCGTAGTTTTCTAAAAAACAAACTTCAAGAGAAAGTAAATATCACACAACTAGATCTCTCCTACCTAGCTCGCCATTAATGTAAGAAATTATGACCCTCTTACAAGGATATTCTTTTGGGGAATGTGTGACAAATAAGACACAAAAACAAGTGTATAATAAAATGTATTGTAAATATTAATATAAGGATACTGTTAGATTTAAAGGGGGATATACACATTACACATTTTAACCAGTACATAATCAAAAGATACATAGTAAAAGGGCAATACTTAGACATTTAAATTAAGATCTTCCCCTTGCGCCTTTATCTGGGAGCAGGCCTGGACTTCTTTTAGAGAAAGGATGGCTTGGGAAAACACATACTTCCATGATTACACCTAGATGTTAATTAATCCAGGTCTCCTGATCTCTGATCTCCTGATAACATGTATGGAAAACTGGTTGGCAGGAGAACTGCTGGAGGGATGTAAGCTTTTGTTTTAGCTGGGTGTTGTAAAATGCAACTGAAAGCTTTGATCCTTATCACACTGTTTGTCAAGTAGATGACCCCAATTTGTGAAACCAGTCACATACACAGAACGCTAAATACATACAATATTGCAGTTTTGCATATCAATTTCTTATAGAGTGATGTCTTGACCCTAGCAAAGCTGAGATGTGTGGCCCTTGTCCTGAGAGGAAGAGCAGCAGAGGATGGCATATTGTAGGATGGTGAATGAAGTCTTGGATCAGCCAGGAACGAGATATGCCCTATCTATAGTAATCTTCCAAGCTATATTTGGAGGCATAATAAATGCTAGAAGATTTTGTAAGTAGCGTGGAAGTTCCTCAGCTGAAATTGTGTTTGATATGCCTCAGAATTTTATATGATTGCAACTGTAGCAATCCTTCATAGCGGTCAATTGCATAGTGAATACCTGTTAAACAGATTGATGCCGGCAAAGAGTGCATCTCATGAGACATGCCATTTTAAATGTCCATTATTTCCTCTTCTAAGGCACGCACTTGAGCTGTGACTGCTTGAACATCTGTTTTGAACACTGCTAAGTCTGCCGCCAGCAATTTAGCTGGGTCTGATTGCTCTAGAGACTCCCACGGAGCGGAAAGGTCTGTTCAATGCTTGGGCTAAGCATGTGGAATAATTTTCTCTGGTGAGCTCAAAAAGGCAGAGGTTCTGGAACCTCCATAACAGCCGTCTTAGTTTGTGCTTGACACTGTAGCAGAGTCCCAATGTCTGTCTTCTCAACCAGTGCAGCAGTTGTGATTTCCGTAAACTTCCCCCAAGGTTGGTAAGGGATAATCAGCTGTGCTAGGCTTTTCACCTGTATAGGATCCACCGAGGAGTTGTTCAATGCAGAGTAAGGTGAGCAAGTAGTAGGCCCCGGACCTGTGCTTCTTTCTTTTCAGCTTTGGGATATGAAAGAAAGGCATTGATCGATACTGGAGGACACCCAGAAGTATGTATGGGAATGTTTGGAGCTGGATGGCTCTTATGGCAATAGGTTTAGCGAGATTGTGCAAGTTCAGAGGGCGTTGTCACTCCCTGTCACTCCTTCATTCTTACTGGAAAGCCGAGGTTAAAGATAATTGTGCTACGTGCAAAATGTAATAATGTGGCTAATGTGGCTTTCCAAGCAGCAAAATCACTTAATAAAGAGATTTTGTGGCACAGCCCTTGTAACCTTGCAAATGAAAACAGGTCCATTTCCCAGAAAAATCATTGATTTTCTTTTTCAAATTTCACACATCTAGTGGTTGTCAGACAGATAGTCACTAAGGGCTTTGGACTAAGATAAATTATGTAATTAAATCTATTTTACATGAGGCGTCAGCATCCCAAGTATGTTGATGCCAGACACTGGTTGTGCTTCCAGTGCTTCTGAAACATTTGTATGGATTTTTACAGATATTGTCACAAATGCACGATAAGTCTGCAATGCTTTTCTCTGAGAAGTATTTGATCGAACCAAAGTAATACATTTGATGATCTCACCGAGGGCAGAGTGAATAGTCTGACTAGGTTAGGTAAATTTAAAAGCGATTTTTCAATGATTTTTTAAAGGGGTGTGTCTAGTAATTTAAAACAAATAGGAACACAGGTGACTTAAAATGAGTATTTATAATGGAGTTCTCCATTAAGCTGTGTCAGTCTAAGGTCATATTGGAATGAGTGCAATTCACTTAGGAAGGTACAAATATATTATCGCATGATCTGCAGTAAACAGTAAATGTTTAATCAGCATTATTGTTTGCTTGATGTGCGGGGTGTTTTATTTGCCTCTTTTAATAATAGTATGCTTGATAACATAGGCAGCCACTGTTGTAATTGGCTTTGCTTAAATATCCAGTTTTATTTAATTGGAGCATCAATGCTTCCACCACAGGTTGCCTACTCCAAAGGAGATTTATATGACATGCAGGTTATCATAAGCTTTAAATACGATATTTACCATCTGATGAGTAGTATTCTATCACTTGTATTACAAATATATACAAGGGGTGCTTTCCTGGAATACCCCATGTATGCCACTGCACAATCTAAGATGGATTTGCTGTACAGATAAGATCATGAAAGCCTCATGCTACAATCTTTATGTCTCTTACAGAGTTAGTCAACACAACAGTACACAATGAACAGATAAAACAAAACTTTAAGTGGCATCTCATGTGTCAATAAAAAGATTATTGATAATATGCTACAGATGAGAACAGATGATTTGAAGTTGACTTCATCATTCACTTCAATCACCCAATCCCCATATGTGATTTTGGTTGTAAAGCAAGAATAAATAGCTAATTATTCAAGCATTCATACCTTTCTCCAATATATTAACAATATGCAATGTTGAGTATTCCTATTTTTTTATTAAACCATTATATACTTCAGCTAGCAATATAGAAAATGAATTACAGATTATAGATCATATCTTTAGAAAAGCCCATTCAGACTCTCTCCTTTCCATCCACTCATCCACTCTATACCTTTTTTGTCCCTCCGGGTGGCATAATCACCTAGCAAAGCTAGTGGTATGTGGTATCCTCCTGGAGAAATATTTGGCCGTGCTAAAAACGCTTCTGCTGTACTCCTGCGCAGCAACAGCGTTTCCAGACAATCAGGTGATCAGGACAGCCGTGCAGCTCGTTGACAACATTTTATGGAGACTGCCCCATCAATGTTAGAAGGCTCCATAAGAGAGCCTTCCTTGCCAGGGACCTATCCTCTTCATCTTCTGAGGAAGATATGGTCCCAGTCACCTGTAAAAGAAAAAAGAAGAGATGCCTTTCATCTTCTTTAAATTCTGATGATGAACATGATATTGGTCCCTCTTCTCCTCACTCTCGTTTGAATATTCGATTATTTAAATGGACAGTACCTCCAAAAGCCAAACGTGTATTTTCCTTGTTTAAGGTTTCTAAGCAGTTTTCACACAACAGGGATAAATCTTGTTTGAGTGCTATCAGTCCCTCACCATCCTCCTCAAGAGCATTTGCTCATTCATCCTCTGTAAGCCAGTCCTGTTCCAGACAGGGATCACCTGAGATTGATTGGGAGTCTGAGGAGGTGGTTTGCTCTGCAGCTTCCACTGAACGAGGGAAGTTGAGCAACATTCAGATGGCCAGGATGAGCCTTTTAGGTAAAGTGTTCCCTTCAAAATTGTTCCATTCCAGATGGGCCATCGAGCAAGATTCAGAAGTCAGGGATTTTGCCAAACTAGCTTTCAGATCCTTGCTAGTTAAAGAGGATGATCCCCTTCTTAGAAACCATATTGGTATCCCTGACATTCTGGCACTAATGGCTCCTGAAATTGATCCAGCACTGTTATCCATTATAGTAAGCAGTGTTTCTGGAGATCCTATTGATCAGACATTTTGCAATATTCAGTTCAAAATATGTTAGATAATCAGAGAGGGAGAGATCCCCTCATAACCCTTCTCTACCAGAGTTATTGGTTTCTAAGCTGGCACTTTTGAAAGCTTCCAGCAGAGCTGTGCTTATTATTGGTCAATCCTTCAATTATATTTCCAATATTCGCAGAACACGCTGGCCCCTAAATCCTACGAGTTTCTTAATTTAGAAGACTCCTTTCTGTTTGGTCCTTCTTTTATACAAAATGTGAAAGGAAAATATAAGGCTAGGAGATCTTTCTCTGATTTAAAGAAGAGCTTTCCAAGTTACAAGAAGCCCTTTTGGACTGAGGGTCTTTCCTACAGGGCTATAGGTTCGTCCTGGGAAGTTTCTCAGCAAGCCCACATCTGTCATCCTGGGGGAAAGTCAAGACCCTCAGACAGTCGTACAGAAAAATAAAGACGCATGCAGTCAAGCAAGTGTTTTACATCACATCATTAAAAACTGGTCAAATATAACCTCGGACAAATGGGTGCTTCAGATTTTCAAAAGGGGTTTACAACGCCCCCTCATTCAATTTTTTTTCCAGAGGCAAGCTCTGGAAAGCTCTGTGCAGAGAGGTAAATCCAGTTCTCGATGCCTCTCTTTCCCTGGCATGAGCTTAAGGAAAAATATAATTGGCAGATATGTCAATTTCAGTTGGATTAGTCCCCTGTTCCCTATTCCAAAATCAGACGGCACATGGAGACCAGTACTGAATGTCAAAGCTTTAAATGATTTCCTAAAGAGGAAAAGATTAGGATGGAAGGTTTAACCCCTTAAGGGCACATGACATGTGTGACATGTCATGTTTCCCTTTTATTCCAGAAGTTTGGTCGTTAAGAGGTTAACAGACCTCCTAGGCCTAGTGCAGAAAAAAATATTTCTGCATAAAATTAGACCTCAAAGATGCTTTCCATTCAGTTCTTATCTCCATGAAACACAGGCGCTTTCTCAGATTTGGCTGGAAGGAACAAATATATCACTGGACTGTAATGGTGTTTGGCCTATCCAATGCACCTTACACATTTTCCAGGATAATGAAAGCTACAAAGTGGTTTCCTATGTCTTTATTATTTACACGCCATTCTGTTGTTGATTCCAGATGTAGATGCTCTTGTTCAGCAGAGATATTACCTAATTTCCTTACTATAGAATCTGAGATTTATAGTAAATCTTCAGAAATCTGTCCTGGTCCCCACTCAGAATATCCTATTTCTGGGTTTCATGCTGAACACTATGGATATGACCTTGGGGTTTCTCCTAGACATTTTTTAACTTACTTAACTTCAGCTATTTTCTTTTCTAAATTCTTTATTTATCAAGTCATGCATATCAAGTAATCATAACAATAAGCAGGGTAGGTGCGTATTCAATTGTACAAGTAATCATAATACGGTATACATACATGGCAGGTGTTGTTGTACAAATTACACTGTACTGGTAAGTGCTGACATTTCTGAGCTTCAGACATATGGGGTGGACGACAGGTATGGTCAGCTCCAGCCAGTGCTGGGTAGAATATGTCACTGCGTTGGCATGTCCGTCAGCGGTTAGTGTAGTCCTCCCATGGCTCCCACGTTTTAGTGGGTAAGTGCCTCTTATTTGTGCTGTGAGTTTGTCCATAAGATGTGCCTCTTTGATGTTGTAAGTGACCCTTTTTATCTGTGGTATGTCAATGTTTAGCCAAGTTTGAGCCATAGCTCTACTAGTGGCCATGTTTATTTTGTTGAACAGCTTTTGTTCTTTGTTAGATAGATTATCTAGGGGTCTTGCTATCAGGAAATCCCAGGGGTCTTGCTCTATTGGTCTATTCAATACTGCTGTCAGTAGTCAGGCTACACCCTTCCAAAAATGTGCTGCTTTTGGGCAGGTCCACCACATATGTGCCTTTCTTTCCCCAGCCCCTCCAGCAGGTGCCTGTGGGTGTTTTGCCCATTTAATATAATTTGACTGGAGTGGTGTTTCATCTCATGAGTGTTTTATAGCATTATTCTTGGTGTAGTACGCAAATGGATGCTTTTGCTGCTGCCTCCCATATGTCTTGCCGTTACCCACTCTCTAATGACTGTCGTAATTCTGTCTTCCATTGTGTGATATATGCAGGAATTTGGGCAGCATTTGTCGGTGCGCTAAGTTGTATATAGAGGAGTGTAATGAGGCCAGTACGTGGCCCGTTAAACATGTATAATGTTTCAGAAAAGGTTGGCTTGGCTCTGGCAGCAGTTCACACCTGTGTTCGTCCGGCAAAATCCCGTAGTTGGATGTACCTAAAGTGGTCTTTAGTAGTCAGCGGGGCTAGGGTTTGTAAAGTTCTAAGT